TGGTGTAGTAGCTTCAACCTCGATTTACCTTAATTTCCTGGACCTGCCAGTCTTGCGACTCCTTCGTCTCTTCTTCGGTGGCTCCGTCACTTCCTCATCGACCTCTTTTTTCTCCTCAAGACTCTCCAGATCTTTCGAAACGGCCTCATCATCAGGTTCGAACTGAAATTTGAGTGTTTCCAAAGGGAACTGCTGCCTCTAATGGTGATTTTACCCACCCTCAGCCTTTTCCAGGTCTTTGAAGCGTGCGCGCGCCTCATACCGGTTGGTGACATGCTCGGCACTCTGTGCAGGAATTGCTGTAATGGAAAATATAGGCTTTGTGAACGCATTTTCAGGCAAATAAGCCCTTTGTCTCGGGGCTCTCATTCGTTAGCCAACGTTTTTTGATAGATAAAGGCGTTCGAGCATGACCTCATCCTTTATGAGCATGCCTCTTCATAAGCGTCCAACCAGTTAGAGATATGCACCTCGTCAGTGGGACCAGGGACATTGGGGGGAACTAGGGCCGTATACGCGCAGTCCTAACCTTACTTCAAAGCGTGATTATGAAGCATCGAATGTTGTCGTTCCCACTGCAGACGGGGACGTGTCAACGGACCGGAGTTTGACCGGTACAAGCCCCTTTTCCACCAAGCGTTGCCGCTTGCCGCTTCTACAGGCTTCGAGGCTGAAAATCTGAAGAAAGGGAAAGAATCGCTGCTGTGTCTAGAAACTTTTCGCGCGCGTTATCGCGTGCTTCACTGACTTGCGACTGAATGGACTTGCGTGAATGCGCCTTACCAGTCCAGAAAACGGAGTACTTCTTCCAGTAATACTGTCGTAAATGTACTCGCAATAGCTGCAGTCATCAGAAAATCTGCGAGCATCAGTGATGGTGCAGAAGGCAAGAGTTCCTTCTGAGGTGTTGGGAGCCAGGTCACTGTCAGACCCTCTAACGTTACCAGAGTGGACCTTTACATAGCTTTCCTTTTACTCAATTCACACAAGGCAGTACAAACCAACTAAATAGGAAAAAAAACCTGATGCTGGTTCTGAGGCCTTGTTGGTCAGCACGATTTTTTTTCAAGAAAGCTATCTAAAAAGTGAATGGAGAGGTGGACGGTCTAAGCTTGGTTGGGGCTATACAGTGAGGGCGGCAGATGCTGGATGTCTTCCATTTTTCTACGGCTTCTAGGGTTTCTATCGTGGGGTCAGTGGTACCAATTTTTTAGATCTTCCCTAGATCGAAGGTGCTGCCATCCGCTGCACTGAAGGTACTCTGCCAAATAAGAGGGTTGCCTTTTATATTTCGGGATTGGGCAAGCCCTAGTGTTGCGAATCATCAAAACATGACAGCTGCTAATGTAAAGTTTGGCATTTTCGAGGTTATACGTACTCAGAACGTTTTGACGTATGAGCGCTATTTGTGTTATTTACATTAACTTAAACGATTTAGGTCGGGGCCAAAAAAAATGGAGAATAATCGTGAGGCATGTTTCGTGGGCGATGTTTTTTACAAACTTCAACTTAATTGTAATTTTTTGGCGATGAAGCTCCTTCAAAGAGGCCTGGCAGTGTTTATGCGATGGTAATAGGTGAAATAAACCGAGGTCGTAGTTCACTCCAAGACGAATTTCGTGGAGGTCGTCTAAAATCAGTTGTTGTTCCGGAAACCATTGATGCTGTGCGCAAACTAAGCAAGATCGTCATGTGACCTATCGTAAAATTGAGACAACCTTAGGCGATTAGTGGGACCAGCATATATTCAATATTGCATGAACATTTGACTGTCAAAAAAAAATTTTGTTACGCTGTCGGATCCCAATCCGCCAAATACGGATCACTTCACTAGGACAGATGGCGAGCTCTCAACACATCGGCTTAAACAATGCAAATTTTGAGCAGTCAAAATCATCGATTGATAGTTCATCCGCATAAATAGTCTGACTTGGCAACCCAATGACTATTTTTATTCCCGTACGTAAAAAATAATAATTGAGAAGGTCGACGTTTTGCGACAGAGCGGTGATGCGTTCAAGAAATGCATGTTTTGGAGATACCTCAATCAGAGTGGCAAAAGTGCTTCGACAATTGGTTCAAACGCCTTGCAAAAGTGTATGGATCTTAATGGGGGAATAATTTGAAAACAATAAAGCGATTTTCAATGATTAATATTTATTTTTGTTCTAATGCCGAACAATATAAAAGCGGCTAGCGAACGCCACGGTACACACGTACACTCGCTTATCCCTGAGCCAGGGTGGGCGTGAACCATTTGAAAGGCATGGCACGTGAACTGGTTACCTGGAGTATTCCAATCTGGGACAACTGCCATCTTGTTCTGTGTTGGACAGAGACACGACAAAAGTTGTGGGAAGGTGGAAGATATTCCACCAGAAGCTTAGACACCTTCAGGTTATGTTGAAAAATGCAGCCCCGCCTACCCGATCTCAGGGATCTCGAGTATACGTAACGGCCAAAGTGTTGGAGATCCTTTCCAAAAGCCGCCTCGTGATCACTGATTCTCATCCGGTAGAAATAAAAAAAAATCCGTGAAATAAGCAGTCGTATCAGAGCAAGCGTAAGGGAGCCACCTTCTACAAAAAGTGTTCTTTGGTAAGAGAATGTAAGGTGTGTACCACAGATAGCCAAAGGTAAGCCTCCCGTAATCCGCTCAATACACTCAAAAATCCCTAGAGATGTGGTAGGCGTGCTGCCGTACTTCAACCTAGTAAACACGCGGTGGTTGGCTTCGGAGAGATTCTTTCATTTTGAACTGAATTGTGGTCTGCCCTCTGTCTAACACGGACAGGCAGGTATGAACACCTGTCTCGAAGGCTGAAATATCCACGGTAACTCATGCTATGCATGTAAGGCCGCGTTCATAGCTTGCGACCATGAAGAAATGCAGAAATGCCGAAACTGCAGACGTGCGGAAAGTGCAGAAATGACGAAAAGCATTACATACGTATCGATTTGAAGAAATGCAGAAATGCCGAAAGTGAAGAAGTGCCGACAGTGCGGAATGTGCAGAAAAGCAATGGATACTTATCGACTTGAAGAAATGCAGAAATGCCGAAAGTGAAGAAGTGCCGAATCTGCAGAAATGCCGAAAGTGTGGAAAATCGATACGTATTGGTTGCTTTTCTGCACATTCCGCACTGTCGGCATTTCTGCAGATTCCGCACTTTCGGCATTTCTGCATTTCTTCAAGTCGATACGTATCTATTGCTTTTTCTGCAGATTCCGGCACTTCTGCACTTTCCGCACTCTGCAATTTTTCGCATTTTCATGCATTTCTCACGAACGCAAGCTATGAACGCGCCTAAAATGCACGCTACTTTGTCTCTGGGATAAGGAGTATAGTAAGTGGAAAGTGTTTCCAGAAAAAATTTTTTACTTACATGGTCAGCGAGAGGAAGCGTAAATAGTGGTGTTGAAATATGAAAGAGAACTGGTCAGTGAGGGGTAAGTGCAAAAGGTAACGTCAGGAACGCCTCGAATAGGGCCCCATGGCCCCAAGGTGAAAGAATAAGTGGAGAATACTGCATGCTGCATCATTATCGTTGCCGAATTCCGGACCTGGGGAACCTTACGACGCAAACTGACAACGGAGCTTCCGTTCCACTGGGAGGGTAAATTGCAGACGAAATCCGAAGGCGGAGCCATTGGATAAGAGGAAGTGTCATTGAAAAAATTTCGCGCCTGAGTCCCTTTAAGAGTCCCTTTAACTTATAACTTTCCGTAGTGAAACTCGTACATGGTTGTCCTTTACGGACCACACTACCCTTCTCACGTAATTTCCTAGCTTTTCATAAGTCATCGCGGACCGTCCCGTTGACCTGCAATCTTATAGCAGAGCCGAGAATTCCCTTTCGTAATGCATCTTTCAAGCGCGTCATCCGATTAGAGGTGACTTCTCCCCATTCGAGATGACCGTGTTAAATCATTTTTTTGCATCAACTGACCGCGGCGGCTATCGCGCCAGACATCCGGCAGCCGAGAAATCTAGTTTTCCTTGCTGGAATGTCGTCGAGACAGGCCAAGCAACATGCGAGATTTCTCTACGTGTCTAATTAACACATTTCCGAAAGAAACAGAAATAACTGAAGGGAAGGCCATAAGAAATTAAAGGAAGGGGGAAGGGCGTCAAACGGATATTGTAAGGGATTTATTACGGTCTAAGAGTCCCTCGCTGTAACCTACCGTCTCGGGCATCCTTCGGATCATCGTACGGAAATCTTCGACAGTAGATTTGATCGTCGGTACGTCTTCTTCTTCATCAACGTGCTTGGTCTTCTTTAGAAGCTTCCTGATCTTTCTCGACTTCCGCAACTTTCGCTTTCGCGGCGACGACGGTGATTGCGGATCAATCTCCTGTGTGACACGATAAGCGATTATGCATGTAAAAGGATGATATCTCTATCCACACTCCGAGACAATCAACCTTAAACCAACATTTACCAGTCTGTGGCGCTCCAACGCTCTTTTCAGCTCTTCGTCGTGCTTCAAGTGACGGATTTCGTTCGTCTCGTCAGGACTGGCCTGTTCAACGCGACTGTCTACGGTTCGAATACGAAGTGGACTTTCTTGCACTGTCTAAACAACATACTTCGTCCCCACTGACTACGATGTTCAGTTCTCTTTAACTGATCCTCACCTTCATCACTTGTTTGGGAGGGACGACCGCTTCCTCGTGGAAGACACGCGCTTGTCTTTTCTGCTCGTCATTACTTGGCAACCTAGTGGTATAGAGCGATTCCCTTGGCGTTGCCGGAGACGTTTTGAATCTGAGAGGTTTATTATTAGATGAAATAATTTGATAATTACCGAAAGACCCTTCGCTTAGGGTATGCGGCAAGAGAATCGTGATTCGCCAGTGGACGTCGCGTGCGACATCGCACCCGCTAATGACGGCATTTTAGGTGGTATTGTTCGAGAATAGACAATGTATATCCAAAATGGACATCCTACGTGAAATCCGATGCTCCAATCGAAAGGGTAGTGCAACTTAAGGAAACATCGCGCCCATTGCCGCGCGCGACGAAGCGGCAATTTACGATTCTCTTGCCCGTCCCCATTCGCTTACGTCGAGGCACGAGACGATGGAGTGGCTATCGGATCACTCATTGGCTGCTGAGTAGAATGTTCACTGCTTGACGACGGCCTTACGAAGCGTGCAGGATATGCCTAATCAGATTTGTATGTCACTGAAATGAGGTCGTCACTCCATTAGATACTCACCGATGTCCTCCGAGTCGGCTCTTTGTCAATTTCTTGCTTCGGAAATACTTCTATTGGAGGTGGAAATGTTGGGGCAGTAACGGAATAGTCTGCTTGAACGATGCTCTGAAACCTCCACATTGAACCGTGAGATTTTCCAGAAATTATAATGTTTCATATCAACGGACAGGTAGCTGTGAAGGGTTTCAGATAAAGATAGTCGCGCAGTTGGGAGAGACTCTTATGCGTAGTCAAGATGGCTCAGAAGAAAGAAGGATGAAGGATTAGAATAGAAAATGAGAATCTTGGGCGCTGTTTATCGACGGGGGGCATTTTGTACTATCACTGCTTCCCTTGTTCCGGTTTGCAAATCTCACTTTGGTAAAACTTGTGAACTCTTGTAAAGCTGGGAGCAGGATCGTCTAGCCACCACCCCAAAACGTGTCAGCTGGGTCCGACATATCTATGGAATGCAAAATGCCCCCCCCCCGTCGATAAACTGCGCCGAGAAACTTGTTCTCATCTTGTTTGCGAACATGAAGCTAATGGATTCCCTTTTTCTCTTCTAAGGACGCCTCCCCCCTCCTCTCAACGCTACGAGCTCTTCTGCACAGTAGAGGCAAAAGTAACTCTGTCCATGGCGAGCACCATCGGAATTTACTTCGCACAGGGTATCAATTGACATCAAAGTAAGGCACTGAAGCATGTTCCACTTTGAGTGAACCCCCAACGCTAGTTCCGCTAGCCCAGAAGGCTCTTCTGCACAGTAGGGGCAGTAGGGGCAGGAAAGCCCACAAAGCAGAATAGCCCAGAAGGCCTGCAAAGTGTACGTCGCTGTGAAGAAACGGCATGTTTTGCATGAACTGGTCCGCTTTGGTACTCCAGCTTTCCAACGATTAGCCAGCGTCGCTGTCCTTCGCGATTTGTTCTCATAGCTCAACCCTAGATATTGACTTTACTACCAAATCTCAGATACGCTGGTTCAGAATATTTGAAAGATTCAAGGACTGACCACTGGTGAGATCAGCAAAGGTCAAGGTTGTGCTTACCCAGTCCCACGAACAAGGGACTTTTGGTGGTGTGCTCCATGAGCAGCGTGTCTTTTACTCCCTCCCTTTACAGCGACTGTTCCTAAGCGAAGATATTCAGCACAAAGCAACATTATTCGCCGGCATCGTTGGCTGTTTCTTAAAAACTGAGCAGCTAAGGAACAAAGGCTACCAGTTCCGTACTGTAGAACTAAGTCGGTGATATTTCTTGGGTCCGCATTTCCAAAGTGGCACTACGATTCTGATTCGAAGGAAATAGAGAGCAAAACTTGCAAACGTCAATATAACGTCACTATAAGCTTAGAGCAATGAATTGTCATGAGACAGGAAAGATATGGATCCTACTGGTGAAAGTGACTACAAATGGGAAGCAGCTGATGTCCTTATAATATCTGCAAAAGTGAGCTTCTCCGAGCGCACATTTTCTTCCGCGTAGGCTCAGTATTGAAACAGTCGTATAGAGGGGCAGGCCAAAAAAGACACTTTTCTCCTTCGACTTTCAAGGCGATATAAGTTACACTTTATTAAATTCTGATTGGACATTTCCACCATCATATTCAACAACACATTGTACACTATCACGAAACTCCGCCACAGCCTTCTGGACGCCATCGAGAGATTCTGCCACGCGACCGTGATTCGGTGCCTGAGTTCAGCGAGGTCGTTGATTTCTCCGCCACTGTAGACCACCCTGTTGAGCTCGACCCGATGATCGAGGGGGCAGGTGACACACTTCGGATATTCCGTCTTCTTCAGGTACTCAACGCCCTTCGATTCCAAGTAGGCGAGAGTTTTTCGATTCCATGTGCTGGCACCCAATCCTGTAGCAGTACAAAGTTTCCAAGATGGTACAGGCGACGACATGAAGGCAGGATATTCTCCTCGAGAGGTTCGATGTAACCGTAAGCTCAAAATTGTGCTGTCTTGGAGCCTCATTGCAATCTGAATGTGAACACTAAAGAGACGCCAAAAATTTAATAGCAAAAAATTCAAGAGATCCAAAAGAATCCAAAAG